GGGGGGGGGGGGGGTTGCTATTGCCGTTTCTTCTTGTCCTTTACACACACAAACGCTGCCAGAATCGACCAAAAACACTCCCGCAGGGCTTGGGTAGGGAAGGGCTCGGTGCTGCTCCTAAATGTGGAACACAAACACATAATTATTACCTCAACCCCGCAGGGCGGGAGGACGTTGATCTTAGTTTCGGTCTGTTTGTCGGCGAGCAGGGCGCGGGCCGCCGGGTTGACCATGTTCAGGGTATACCCCATGTACCTCCCTTCGCCCTCTACGTCGACCTCGATTGTATTCGATGCCCAGTCGCTCTTCCTGTGCGGAGATGGCGATCATCACGTACATGCATCGGTGACAAAAATGGAAACGACAGACCAGAATCGGAATGGTAACCACACGGTTTGACCGAACTAGTACTGCTGATCATGTACTCTAAACAAAGAGTGGCAAGGGTGTGTCTCGCTTCATTGGGGAGTTTGTAGGTTGCAGTTTTGGGGACGCAACATAGAAGCCCAAGACATCGTCCGCGAGACCAAACAACAAGAGAGAGAGAAAACGTACGAACTACAACCAAAAACGTAGGCATCATGGAGGTCATTCATTTTTTTTTAACCGCGAGCCATCACAAGCGACGTGGACAGCGGAAAAGAGACAAATATACGATGGCAATTGATGCAAACAAATCAGCCATCGCCATCTAGACAGTAGCGTGAAGGGGGTGAGTAACAAATAGCGAGAAACTATAGCACTGAACATAATTTTCCATGTCCCCAATGTTTGCTAAACCCGTTCCAAAAGAGAAAGGACAAGCGCAATTTTCCTCAAACCTACACTCTGCTTTTCTACACATATATGCCGTGTCTCGCTTGATAGGCCGGTCGAAACCTTCATCCTTACGCCGGCACGAGCGACACACAATACCACCCTCAGCCATACACCCAAGATAAGCGCTTCAGCTGGGCTACAACAACTTTAATCATGGGCTGAAACGCTTGTGAAGGTTGTATCCCGATGGGGCGCTGGGATCTCCACGCAAGCTGAAAAGAAAGTTCGGAGGTACAGACATGGTCGACGTTAATTGTGCTCAAAATATCTCATGAAAACAACACATAACACACACAAATAAAAACTCACAAACCTCAACCAACAACACCTACCCAACCAGCAGAAGAAATATGCCACAGCACCAGACCACGGCTGCAAACACCGATCAATAGAAGCCGCAGCGCAGAAAGACAGCGACGGCCGCCAGCGACAAAAGCCATCAAACAGACTTCTCACTTGCGCAAGGGGCCGGTAGGGAGGTACAACTCCGGCCTGCCGGGAGCGACCATGTAGCGGTTCATCTTGCCGACGCGACGCTGCCCCAGCCCGGGCTCCACCCCTTTATCGTCCTGCAGAAGGAGGTGCCGTTCGCTGCTCTGGGGAAGCCAGCGCTACAAAATGGAACGGGACGGAACGGGATTGGACGTGATCCAACGGGATGATGACGGGGTACCGTTCGCTGCTCTGGGGAAGCCAGCGCTACAAAATAGGACGAGATGGAACGGCATGGGACGTGATCGAGCCGGACGAGAAGGGGGTACCGTTCCCTGCTCTGGAGAAGCCAGCGCTGCAAAATGGGATGGGATGGGATGGAACGGGATGGGACGTGATCAAGCGGGGTGCGAGGTGACAATGGCGTACCGTTCCCTGCTCTGGAGAAGCCAGCGCTGCAAAATGGGATGGGATGGGATGGAACGGGATGGGACGTGATCAAGCGGGGTGCGAGGTGAGAAGGGGGTACCGTTCGCTGCTCTGGGGAACCCAGCGCATGGAATGGGCATGCACATGGGATGGGACGTGATCGAGCGAGCGGGATGTGAGATGGGATTCGGATTCGACGCCATCGGACGTGAAGCTGTCGTGATCGAGGTGTACCAGTACTTTCGACGTGCACTACAATTATCCTCGAGACGCGCCAGGAAGACACGAGATGACAGCAAAAACACAAAAAAAACACAAAAAAACGAGACATCTCTAACCCAGGAGAGACAGAAAGGGGGAGAGAAAGAGAGGGGGAGAGAGAAAGAGTGAGACACACAGAAAAAGGTATAGGTAGTACTGTACCTCAAGGGTGGTGGCGGTGGTTCTCTTGTTGGGGAACAGCACGGCGGTCTCGCCCCGCTCTCCGAGGTTGGTGCGAAAGATGACCCCCTCTGCAGTCTCCAGGGACTTGGCCACGCTAGCAGGAGCAGCATCTCTCGCGGCCGAGTCCTGCGGTGCACCACCCAAGTCGTGAGGCAGCAAGCAAAACAGGGGGTGGGATTCAATGAATTTCGGAGCGGTGGGGGGCGTACTCTCATGCTTTGCATGCCTTAGCGGTTAGACCATTGACCACGCGTCCTCGAGAGGACGGAGCATTGTTCTCACAGGACCGATCACCGATGGCCAATCGTTCCTTTCTACTTTGCCAAAAGTGCCTCAAAAATGCCTTCCCTAGTCTGTCTATTTGGAACCAAGAACCCACATATTCTACATGTATGTTAAACAGCGAGTGACAGTGTCTCCCTCTATCAGCAGGTTTAACCCGGTCCATGCCAAGCAGTACCGCATACAAGACAGACGTAATTCTCATTTGGTCAGCCGGATAGCGTGGTAATTCAAGACCACACACACGCACACAAGACACACACAAGACCCTCCCTCACGCGGGGTCTATATTCCCGGTTTACAACAAGCGCTTTCTACTTGTTAGCCGTAGTGCGACTGAGGTATTTTCATTTGATCAGCCACATAGCGTGGTCCAATTCAAGAAACACCCACACCGCACGGAGACTGGCGTCTTTTCATTGGTCAGCCAGATAGCGCGGTCGATGCTAATAATAAAAACACACACAAAACACACACACCTGCAGCCGCAGCTCTAGCTCGATCTGATTCGCATTGGCCGGGATGAGGGTCTTGGAGCCTAGCAGGAAGGAAACCATCAGCTCTGCCTCGGGATCGTCGGGCACTGTTTCCTTGACCCTCAGCAAGCGTTCCCTCAGCACGTACCAAGGCTCGCCCTCCTTGTCTTCTAGGGGGAAGGGGCCGGAGCCACGATTCACCCTCACGAAGCAACAATGGAGGGTGCTGATCAGGGTCTTGACATTCTGAGAGAGGAGGGGGGAGAGAGAGACAGAGAGAGAGAGTGACAGACAGACAGACAGAGAGAGAGAGAACCGGACATCATCCCACCCATCAACAATCACCAGCGCGCGTGACAACAACAAAACGCACACACACACCAACGAATTCTCATTCTTCAGCCGGTTGGCGCGGTCGATGCTACTAATAGCAAAAAAAAAACACACACACACCTAAACAATACACACCTGGCTTTCATCGTTCATGAGGATGCATAGGGCGGGGTTCCGCAGGTGTCGGACAATCGACACCGCCTCCTCCGGGGCCAGCATGACCACGCGGCACATGCCCGGGGACCCCTTGGGGACGACCCCTTCCGCCGAAGGCTTCTTGTCCCACCACGGGCAGTCGAGGGCCCAACGCACCACGTCTGTGGCACCCATGGCCTTTATATTTTTTGGTCACGATAAGACGTAATTTAAAGAACGTCCGTACCGCAAAAACAACACAGAGCGAGAGAGAGGGGGGGGGGGAGAGAGAGCGAGCGGTGGGTTGGTGGAGGTGATAGCGCCGTCATCATCATCGCGGTGGGGGCACGCGGATAGGACCATAACCAAACCGGCCGACAAAACTCGTGCGCTGCACGTGAGAGCCCGAACACTGCTGTTGTCGTCGACACTTGCTGAGTCAAGCGATTCAAATGATAAATGTAACCGCTGTTGAGGAAACTGTCAGGCATACATAGGCATACATACACGGGACCGCCACACAGGAAAAAGAGATGGTGACATGTCGGTAAATACCCAATACACACACAAAGGAGCGGGGTTCAACGGACCATTCGATGAAAGTTTCACCCAAAAGAGACTGCGTGGCAAGCAGACCTCCACCTCGATAGGATCGTCTGCGCACGCATTCGTGTGCGAAAAACTCATGCTACATACCCCCCCCNCCCCCCCCTTTCCCTACCCCTCCCACCTCAGTCCTGAACAGGGACAACAGGTGCATGTGGACATCCAGCTGATCCACAACGTTCGAGTCGAAAAGCCCCGTGGAATAATTCCTGTGCAGGTGTTCCACAAGCTGCCAGTGCAGTAACCGAACGCGACAAAGGGGGTTAGCTCTTTCCAGAGAGACATTTTTGAACCTACCTAGGTCCGTGACGGTCGTTGTTTTCTTCAGGTCTGTTCAGGCGGTGCGAGCAAGCGGTGCGGCGGGAAAAACCTTCTTTCAGCAGACGCTGAATGAGAGGCAAAGAAGAGGGCGAGGGCCAGACGCAANGGGGGGGGGGGGGGGGGGGGGGGGGGGGGGGGGGGGGGGGGGGCGCAACATATCACACACCCGTTACCACGAGGCCAAAAGTCCGATGGCTGCGGGGCATACGCGAGGGCAGGAGAAATACAACGACAGCCGTGATACATACACAATTGTAGCCCTCCTTGCCACGCTTTGGTAGATATTCTACCAACGAGGTACATACAGAATTGGTCTTATATCTGTAGTCAGACGGACCTCGCGAGTGTGCGCCGCATCGAACTTGAGAAACCTCAGGGAGTGGGAAAGTAGGCGGGCGAAGGAAGCCGGGGTATAGGGAGAAACTCGGAGCTGCTGCTGGCCCCCTTCCAAAACCTTCGGACACTGGCGACACGGAAGAGAATAAAGCACAGCAACAGCACCAACAACGCCGAAGCAAGAATAATGGGAGGGCNGGGGGGGGGTACCCGTGACGACTGGATGCAGCAGTCTGGCATAGACGGGGGTGAAGGGCGGAAGACATCAACACACAAGGTCGGCCAAAAGGGAATAGCTACATACGGAGTACTTGCTACGTACAGCAGCAGGGGGGCTTGCAGATTGTCCCGATACGTACCCGCCGAGGCTACCGGAACTACACGGGGTACCCCGTACTATGCAGAGACAGTGTATTCAAAGCTTCCATCCGTGTCAGAAGATCTCACCCGCACTACGATAAGCCAGGCCGTGGCACCATCCAACCAACGCTATAATCCGAGGCTCGTGGCACATGCAGCACTTCCTCTACCCAAAAAGGCGAGACTAACCCAGAGATGGAAGAAAAAAAAAAAAACACAGCGAGAGCTAGGCATCGTGCGATACGTGGCCGCGTTGTCAGGTCACAACACTGGGCGCGAGGGTTAAATTAGCCTACGGTGTGCGCACGCAGCGCCAAACGAGAAAATCGTCCGATGCCGCCGGGACCACCGCATCGTGTCAAGGGAGGAGCAAGTTAACGCAGAGGATACGCAGACTGAGGCCAGTAGAGCGGGTACCTGGCCTCGATACTACGACCGCGACACAGAGTACGATATTGCAACATGTGCACGGGTGGGGTTGATAACACAACACAAGCAAGCTTGTCACACGCACGCATGCACATACTGTAGGTAGGTACATGCTGAATCACCCAAACCACCAAGAAGGAGGCAGGGGGGGGTTGTTGGTTGTCGACCACTCCACGATACAAACAAAAAACACATGCCACTCACATTTGCAGCCTCAACATAAAGGCTACGCGTCATAAACAACCAGAACGGAAGCATCATGTCCGCAAATTCCGCCGGGGATAGGTCCACTCGCGGGTGGAGGGTAGTGGCGACACGGTCCTGTGTTGTTTGTCGCCGGCGGCGATTGAGAAACAGCAAGGTACCGTCAAAAGCAAGGGGCACGCAGAGAGGACGGGAGGGGGGAAAGCGGCCTTCAACACGAGGACAAGGCCAAGGCGTTAAGGCAGGCTTCCGCGTGGCGTGTCAGTGGGAACGGTGTGCGTGCGGCGGGTTTCTCGTCGACGTTGAACGACAAGACAAGACCCACAACCGCAACTACATGCCCGGGAACAGCCCGGGGTAGACAAAGACGCTCATAGACTAGGTGTCGTCGACACGCGTGACGATTGCCTCCCAGGCAAGTTACTGCACGGAAATGACGAGCAAGATTCTTGGGGGCAGTAAGTGCGCAACCATGCCCCTTCGGCCCTTTTCCCTGTCCCGAAGCGTGCTCTCGCTCCTCTGCCTCGCATGTACCACCATCTCAAGGTGATGAATCCACTCTCTTTCTCCTGGCATGCTCCCCTTGCGCGTACGTTCTCTTGGACATCCCCCCACACACTCCCCCCCCGGTGTATACCATCGGGGTTGGGTTTTCGTCGCTTGGCAACGACGTTGTAAAACAAGCCCCCCCTCCCGGTGTTTTGCCATCGGGGTTGGGTTTTCGTCGCCTGGCAACGACGTTGTAAAAC